GCCTCAGTATGCAACAGTATTTGACGTACATACGTCAGAGATCAATACACCCTCTTCTTAATATTAACATTAATAAAAATAATAATAATATAAATAATAATAATAATAATAATAATAATAATAGTAATAATAATAATAATAATAATGCAATAAAACTTAAAAAGCGCCTATTAAAGTTAAAAAATAACTTGCGACCGGCGCTAAGAGAAAAATTGAAAAACAGCTGCAGAAGAATCCCATAAAAAGAACAGAAACAGATGAGTGGAAATTTCAAAAATAGGTATTCTATGGATTTAAACGACAAGACAGGATTCTCTTCGGACTATTTGTTTTTTAATGTTCTGTCTCTCAAAAATCTGACGTACTATATTACATCATTTTCTTTAAAAAAATTTTCAGGACAATGTCTAACCCAAAGCAAGTTCGTGTGATTCTCTGGACAACCCCGCGCTCACTCTCTACGGCATTCTTAAAAAGTGTGTCTACATTCCAAAACGCCGAGATTTTCCAAGAGCCGTTCGTTTCTGCTGGTCTTTTTGGTCCTGATAGGAACAAGCAATCTACAACAGACGAGATGAATACGTTTCTAGAAAACGCTGAGGGAATGGAGGAATACACATACGATGGCGTTAAAGCGATGCTGGAGATGGAATATCATGACAAACACCTTATATTTTCTAAGGATGGTGGACAGTTTATGCATGGACATTTTGACAAAATTCCGCTTGGCTACAAACATGTATTTTTGACACGTAGGCCAAGTAAAGTACTAATGTCTATCGACCGAATGTTAACAGCCTCAAATACTTTGGCGAAGCATGGGTCTTGTAGATCTACTTTACCAGGAACTCCACATCGTCAGTTGTTCGAACTCATGGAGTATGTGCGCGATATACGTCACCAAGACCCGTTAATCATCGATGGAGACGATCTCCAGATGAAGCCACAACTCGTAATGCGTGCCTTTTGTGATTTTGTTGGTCTATCATATTCTGATAAAATGATGACATGGGAATCCGGACCTGATTCAAGATGGCGTATATCAAATGTAAAGAAGTTAACGAATGAGATAATCGGTTTAGCCCACAAGAAGGCATTCAATAGTACAGGGTTTGACGCACGGATCCCAGAACAAGAACCTTCTTTAGAAGAAATGGATGAAAAGACCAGAACTAGAGTGGTTGAGGCACAGCCATATTATGAAAAGTTAATGGAAATGAAATTAAAAATTTAGGTATTAATGAACTAAAATGTGTTACTCATAATACCAAAGCAGATAAGCAATAGGATAATGAAGAATATTTTGTTTTGTTTTTCTTGTATTTCCTTTTCTTTACATTGTACTAAGTCTAGGCCTATGACTATGATGATGACTACAGTATTATTGTAAACAAACTTAATTGTTAAAGATGCAAACTAGCCATTATGCTGTCCTGCTTTCAATTAAATAAATAGCGTATGGACAGGTTTTCACTGGAACAGTAATGAGCATCTCAAAAAATAATTACCGGTGCTGCTGTAACAAGGGTTTACTTGTGCATATCCATAATCACCCATGCATTTAAAATCAATATCAATAATAACTATTTGGGTTGAAAAAAACTGTATTGACAAAGATAAACAAATTATTTGAAATGGGAAATGGCGTACACATACCAATAATAGCAAGAAGCCAGGCCAATAGGCCAATAATTAGCCGACACTTGCATAAAAAAACCCTTAATGATATTTGACTAGCATTTTCAATGGAAGTGATTTTAATTGTAGTAATATTTCATATACAGTACGCAGGGTTCATACACTTTGAACTTGGGAAAATTCCAAAACTTTTCCAAGAGTTTTCCAGAGCCAAAATGTTGAATTTCCAAAACCATTTCACACAAAAATAATGACACAGAACATTTTTTACAAGGCAACTTTTTCTTTTATTCTTTAAATGAGCGTTCTATTTAGTGAAACAAAAAAAACAAATTATATAAAAATCTTTAATAACTGATATTTTGAAATAATATTGCTTATATACTGCATTGCGGATGAGTAATTGCAGAACAGACTTGTCTAGTCTAAACAAATCCAACTATATAATAAAGAA